CCCATGTGTCCAGCATTATAGGTTGTTTAAACAAATAAGAGATCAAAGTTTAATGCACATAAAGAGGATATATAATGTATTACTACAGATGGACTCAGAAACCGAAATGGTTAAAGATTGTATGATAAAATGGGCTCAGAATACTTGCATTTTTTATGTACTTTCGAACTGCTAGGTTGGCAGAAGCTGGGAAAAGTAACGGGAGCTCACTCTGTTACACGGCGCTAGGGATTCGAACCGCTGAACTGCCGACCTTTTTGATTGACAAGCTCAGCATCTTAGCCACTGAGCCACCCTTTAGATGTGTTATACATTATAATAAATAATAAATAATTACTGTATTTCCTCAAAAGTAAGCCCTAATGCGTCTTTTGGATAAAAAAATTAATATAAGACCCGGTCTTATTTTGGGGAAAACACGGTATTATTTTAGCACATGGACCGGGAAGTTTCCCTCCTATTAAACCAGGGTGTGAAGTATTGAAAAGGGATTGGACAAGAGGAACAGATAGATGTAGAAATAAAAGGCAAGATGGCATTTGAACTGGATGGAAGTCCAATCTTGGTACCTGTTTTCACAAACTGTTCCCCAAATTCTTCTGCTGGAAAGAGACAGCCAATCAATGCGTCTCTCGTACATCTTCACCGTCTGCCTGAGTTGCTTCTGTGAAGTCAAGGAGAAAAGATATCAACACACTTGGCCAATAAAGAATTATATCCTATCCTATCCTTCATTCCATTATTCCTATTCTATTCTATTCCTATTCTATTCCATTATTCTATCCTATCCTATCATTCATTCCATTATTCTATTCTATTCTATTCAATTCTATTCTCTTATTCTATTCTATTCTATCCTATCCTATATTCCATTATTCTATTCTATTCTATCCTATTCTATTCTCTTATTCTATTCTATTCTATCCTATATTACATTATTCTATTCTATCCTATTCTATTATTCTATTCTATTCTATCCTACTCTATTATTCTATTCTATCCTCTTCTCTCCTTCATTCTATTATTCTAGTCTAGTCTAGTCTATTATTCTATTCTATTATATCCTATATTCCATTATTCTATTCTATTCTATTCTATTCTATGATTCTATTCTATTATTCTATTCTATTCTACTCTATTCTCTCCTATTCTATTATTCTATCCTCTCCTTCATTCCATTATTCTATTCTATTCTATTCTATTTTATTCTATTTTTCTGTTCTATTCTATCCTCTCCTTCATTCCATTATTCTATTCTATTCTATTCTATTCTATTCTATTCTATTCTATGACATGCAGTTTATTCACCTGGTAATCGTATAATATC